CCCCAAAACCCCAAAACCCCAAAACCCCAAAACCCCTAATAATTTAAAGATTTTTGATCGATTCATATAATTAAATAATAAGCCCGGAAAATATGACGAAGCTAACATTCAATTGTATTCATAAGGTATTGAACGGAAATGATTCTGATCTTAATGATGGCATCATTGTGCAGTTCCTTAGTGTACACTCGACTACTCCAGAAGATAAAATTTATTGAAAAGGTACAATCTCTTGAGGCAATCTAAGTGTTACTTCTGTTATTAGAGGATCCTGCGCGAAAGAATCTCAAAATAAATATGGAGCTTACGAAATAAAGCCTTATGACATCGTCAAATTTAACAAATGGAATGCTAAATAAAGTCATAAGCAAGGATTCAAAACCAAAGTTCTTCATAATCTTGAGTGGACCTTATAAAATTCTCAAAACGGGACTATCTACAAGCATAGGAGATCCTAAAAATTACTATGATTTCCAAAGTAATAGTGAAATCCCAGACCCTGACCCTAAGAATTGAGTTTACCTAAGTAGTCCTCTTATCAAAGAAGAAACAAAGGATACCTTCGAGTCTCCTAAAATAACAAGAAGGTCAAGAATAAAGATGGATGGCTCTGTATCACAAGATGCCAATGACGATTATATGCCCATAAAAGCAATCAGCTGAGCCAATAACGACTGGATAATTTTAGCAAAAGTAACTAAAAAGACTCCAATAAGAGAATACTCGAATGATAGAGGACCTGGTAAACTTTTCAATATAGAGCTCACAGATGGCTTCGGAACTCAAATCCAAGCTACAGCATTCAATAGAGCTGCAGATAAATGGTTTGCCAAGATCGAAGAAGGCAAAATTTACTGAATTTCCAACTGAGCTGTAAGAATATCTAACAAAAAGTGGACGAGTATTAAAAATGATTATTGTCTTTATATTTCAGAGACCTCAACAATTTATCTATCAGAAGACCAAACGATAGATATTGCAGATATTCAGATATGTAGAACAACCATCGAAAGCGTTTTCAATAGCTCCGAAGGAATGTCTCTCGACTTTGTCTGAATCCCAGTAGAAGATTATGGAACAAGAGAAATTCTATTAAAATCTGGAGAGTCAAAATAAGCTTAGAACACTCTTAGTTGTAGATGAAAGCAAAATTGACAAAATGGAGGAAGATCAGGTTCTTGGTATCGAAGTCCAAATCTGGGGATCAAATCCAGAGAATGTAAATGTAGAATTAGGCAAACTTCTGATCATAAAAAGGTGAAGATCAACCTCTTTCAGAGATTCGAAAAGAATCAGTTGTAGTGAAGATTATGAATTTTATTATTTTAAAGATGTAAAGCATCTTAGAGAAATGCTCCAGGTCTTCAAGTGGTATAAAATAATCACTGAAGGAGATCAAGATATTAAGAGTAGAATCCACAATATTTCAAGCGAATCTTCTCCTGGAAATTCTGGATCCACCCCTATAAGAATGATTATTCAAGCAGAAGCTGAAAATCTAGAATTTTATTTCTGTTATGTAAACTTAGAACTTATTCGGTCTGATGAAAGAGCAGTCTATGAAGCATGTCCTCAATGTAAGAAGAAAGTTGTAAAAACTCTTGAAGGAAAATATGCCTGAGAGAGATGAGAAACTGATTTTGAAGAACCAAAGTACACATACATGCTCAGTTTTAAAATATCAGATGGCTTCACAAAAGATAATGCAGAAGGAACAAAATGGTGCAACTGCTTTGGAGAGCAAGGCCAAACATTAATGGGCAAAATTACTGCTAAAGAATATTACGATAAATTTCATACTGATTTTGATGAGAAAGATGAATTAAAGTAAGTCTCATATTTCTTGTCCAGAGTTTTAAAAGAATGATAAAAGTATTTTGAGACAATGAAACTAAATATGAAACTTAAAGTTACCAATTAGATAATTTTAGATCATTAATAACTAAATAAATGAGCTTAAGGGATCCATTTTTTAAATAAAATCGTTTTTGGCTTGATACTCTTCAGCACAGAATAGTTATTCTATTTTAAGAAGAAACTGATCTTGCAGGCTTTTTAATAGTTTTACCAAATTACAAAAACAGATATTAATGCTATAATTCTCGGTATATCATTTAAGTTACTTTCTCCATCTTCCAATTTTTCTCAAAACCTCCACTAAACCCAAACCTCCACTACTTTTCAGCTCTAACAAAGACATAGCTGTTCAGTCCAGTTATAAGAGAACTAGGAAAAGAGAACCTGTACAAAAGATATAAAATGCTTATTAAGAAGTCAGAGACTGAATTCCAGGGTGAACTTAGGAACAGGTATACTGCACTCAAGATTTTTAAGGAGAAAGTTACAGTTGAGAATGGGTATTATTTGAACTTGTTAAAGGAATATCAGGAGGAGGAAGAGGGGTGATAAGTGGAGAGGCAGATGGGGTTAAAGTAATTAGTTCAATTTTTTAAGGTGGAGGAGGGGTTTTGGGGTTTTGGGGTTTTGGGG